TTTAATGACAAGAAATTATGTAGGTAAAAAGAAAAATATAAAATTAATTATACAATAAATTATATCATCGCCAAATGATAATGCTATTTTCATGCACTATTTATTTTCAAGTATAATAATACAAAAATGACATTTTTTTACGTTTCGTTGGTACACAATATATAATTTCGTATACAATCTTAGGACAATGCAAATTGTTTTNNNTTATTTCTTTTGGTTGATAACAAAAGGTTACATATCAATTGTAAGAATAATTTTTTTATTTTTTTTGTATATGGGTTAATATGTAATTTATATTGAAGATTGGGCCTCCTTTTCATTTATAAAAAAATTTGAGAGAAAAATTTGCGTTGCAGCGAGGAGAGCCAAATTCCCATTTCCCATTTCCAGTTCCTCTGGACATATTTTCTCTCTCTATTGAGAGAATATCTTGTGATATTCTTATACGATGGCAATTGTATCTTGTTGATATGATATAGATTAGGTTGTATCAATTAGATGATATGGTAAATCTCGTAGATTAGGTCCTTTGATTTCTTTCCTTTCTTTCATCTCCTTTGGCTTGTATAAATACCTTGTAATCTTCATTGAGTTAAACAACAATTCAAGCTCTACATCATTCTCTCTACTTTTACATGGTATCAGAGAAGATTTTTTTGTAAACTCTAATCTAAGCCGCTGCCCCCCCTCTCTCTTTTGTCGGCCATGACTAACTCCTTGGATGCTAACTCTCCATACTATGTGCATCCCTCTGATCACCCCGGTCTTGTTTTTGTCATCCATCCTTTGTCTGACAATGGTGACAATTACTTTACCTGGAAGACATCTTTCCTCAATGCTCTTCGTTCCAAGAACAAATCAGGTTTCGTGGATGGCTCCATCTCTCCCGCTGATGCGGATTCTCCCGACTACAATAATTGGGTGCGCTGCAATGCCCTAGTCAAATCCTGGCTCATCAACTCCATTCATCAAAACCTTCAACCTATGGCGGCTCACATCGAATCTGCCGTTGATGTTTGGAACGACTTTGCTGAGCGCTTCACTCAAGGTATCGCCCCTCGTATTTATGAATTAAAGCGCACCATTGCTCTTCTCCAACAAGAAAAGACTTCCACTTCTGTTTATTACGGTAAACTTAAGAATGTTTGGAGTGAATTGCACAGTCTTCGCCCATCTCCTGTTTGCACTTGTGGTGCTTGTTCTTGTGGTGCTGCTAATAAATTACGGACTCTTCAAGAAGAAGAAAAGGTATTTGATTTCCTCATGGGTCTCGATGACTCATACAAAATTGTCCGCTCTCAGATTCTCAGTGTCGAACCTATGCCCTCCCTTGGTCGCGCCTATGCTGTTGTCGCTCAGGACGAGAAGCAACGCTCTCTTGCTGATAATCGTCATCCTGTTGTTGAGGCCTCCAGTCTTCTTGCCAAAGCCCCTCAACCCGGCCGCGGGGCTACTCGTCGAGATGGTCGTCGCACTGGCCCCAACAAACTTCATTGCACTCATTGTCGGCGCTCCAATCATCTCGTTGAAAATTGTTGGGAGTTGCATGGTTACCCCGCCGGATGGAAGCCCCGCCAGAATGTCACCACCCCCGCTGCTCTCGCCGCTCCTGCCCAATACACCGCGGCTGACTCCGGCACTGCATCTCTCTCCGCGACAACGACGGCCGCCTCCCTGACCCCAGCCCAGCTGCAACAACTCTTTGCCATGCTTGGCACCCAGCCGCCTGCTGGTTCTTCAGCCGCCTCCACTGCACCTCCACCGTCGGCCTCCTCTACTAGTGGTAAGATACTTTGGGCAGCCGATTCTGGCGCCACTGATCACAGTACTCATATGATGCACTCCATAATTAATCCTCGCATACCCTCTCATCCAATTCACATTCAAATCCCAAATGGAGATCATATTCCTGTCCAAGCTAGTGGGAGAATCAAGCTTGGCCCTGACTTATATCTTGAGAATGTTTTGGGAGTTCCACAATTTAAATTTAATCTTATATCTGTCAGCAAATTGACTCGGGATTTGAACTGTTTCTTCACTTTTGGGCCTGATTTTTGCTTCATACAGGACTTACGTTCGAGGAAACTGATTGGAGTGGGTAGAGTACGAGATGGATTATATTATTTGGAAGGTGTGGGAACTGGCGATGGTGGGAAGGTCTTGTTGGCACGCAAAGATAACACAGCTGGTTTATGGCACCATCGACTCGGTCACATGCCCATTGGTCGTCTACCTTTAGTTTCTGGAATTTCTATTTCTAATAATCATTCAGTCTCTTTTTGTGATGCCTGTTCTAAGGCCAAACACTCACGATTGCCTTTTCCTAGTAATGTCAATAAATCTTTGCACACTTTTGATCTCCTTCATTGTGATATTTGGGGTCCCTACCACACCCCTTCTCACTCTGGTGCTCGTTATTTTCTTACTTTGGTGGATGATTACAGTAAAGCAACTTGGGTCTTTCTTATGAAATTCAAATCCGAGACCAAACGCTATTTGATATTATTCCTTAATTGGGTTCGCACTCAGTTTGCCACTACTGTTAAGACTATCCGCTCAGATAATGGTTTAGAATTTTCTCATGATGACTTGCTGCAATATTATTTTGAAAATGGAATTAATCGTCAAACTAGTTGTGCACACACTCCACAACAAAATGGGGTGGTAGAGCGCAAACATAGACATATTCTTGATGTTGCTAGAGCTCTTCGATTCCATGCTAGTCTACCACTTAAGTTTTGGGGGGAATGCATCTTAACTGCTGCCTACTTGATCAATAGAATGCCATTATCAGTTCTGCATAACAAAACTCCTTATGAACTTCTTTTTGGGCATGTTCCTTCTTATGATCATTTACGTAGCTTTGGTTGTCTCTGCTATGCTAATGTCACTAGTAGACCAAGAGATAAGTTTCATGCTCGTGGTAAACCTGGTATTTTTGTTGGTTATCCACATGGTCAAAAGGGCTACCGAATTTATGACCTGGACAGTCACCTCATTTATTCTTCCAGAGATGTGACGTTTCACGAGGATCAATTCCCTTTTGCCACTTCTGCACCCTTGGTCTCTGCCTCTTTGGATGTTGACTGTCAAGTTCGTGATGCCGCCATTGATCCGGTTCCTTTATCTGCGCTCCACTCTTCTCCGACTGCCTCATCCACGGCCGCGCCCAGCTCATCACCTGCACCACCTAGTCCTGGTTCTTCTGCATCAGACGGGCCATCCTCATCATTGCCTTTTCCACCACCGGCAACACCATCTCGCCGGACCCGCCAATTGCCACGTCGTCTCTCCGATTACGACTACACATTGCCACCTTCCCTCCTTCCAAATAATCCATCGTCTACTCTTGCCGCTTCTTCAGATTCCTCAACGGTACATCCACTATCTCATACTCTGTGTTATTCCAGATTTTCAAAGTCGCATGTTGCCTTGTTAGCGGCCATCTCTTCTACAGATGAGCCCACTTCCTTTCGACAGGCTGTTCAATATAAACATTGGCGAGATGCTATGTCTACTGAAATCAAGGCTCTAGAATTCAATAACACATGGAGTATCGTACCTCTTCCTCCTGGAAAGCGAGCTATTGATTCTAAATGGGTCTATCGAGTGAAGTTTCATCCTGATGGCAGTGTTGACCGTTATAAAGCCCGTTTGGTGGCTAAGGGCTTCACTCAAATTGAAGGAGTCGATTTTCATGAGACCTTTGCTCCCGTCGCTAAGCTCGTTACTGTTCGTTGCCTTTTAGCTCTTGCCTCCATCCGTAAATGGGAGCTGCATCAACTCGATGTCACTAATGCCTTTCTACATGGCGACTTACATGAGGAAGTTTACATGAAGATTCCTCAAGGTTTTGCCAAACAGGGGGAGACGCGTGTTTGCCGGCTTCAGAAATCCCTCTATGGACTTCGTCAAGCATCGCGAAATTGGTACCATAAGCTTGCTCAAGCTCTTACTACCGCTGGTTTTCATGAGTCTTCATCCGACTCATCACTATTTCTTTATTCAAAGGGGTCTTCTTTTATGGCTGTTCTTATTTATGTTGACGATATCATCGTCACCGGCAATGATGTTTCCAAGATTCTCCAACTTAAGAAGTACCTTCACCAGCAATTTAGCATTAAAGATCTTGGCCCTTTAAAATATTTTCTTGGTATTGAGATAGCTCGCTCTTCTACGGGTATTGCTCTCAGCCAGAGAAAATATGCGCTTGATATTCTCCAAGAATGCGGTCTTCTTGGTTGCCGACCGATCTCGACCCCCATGAAGCAGCAGCATCATCTCTCTGTCGACTCTGGGGAGTTATTTGATGATCCTGGACGTTATCGACGTATCGTTGGTCGTCTTCTCTATCTCACTGTCACACGTCCCAATATCAGCTATGCAGTCCATGTTCTTTCCCAATTTATGCACCAGCCGCGTATCCCTCACTATGAGGCTGCTCTTCGTGTTTTGCGCTACTTGAAGAATGCTCCTGGTCAGGGTCTCCTCTTCCCTTCTTCTAGTTCTCTTCAGTTGCGCGCCTATTGTGATGCTGATTGGGCAGGATGTCCGTCCACTCGTCGTTCCACTACCGGCTTTATTGTTTTCTTGGGTGATTCTCCGATCTCTTGGCGTTCCAAGAAGCAATCTATTGTATCTCGCTCTTCTGCTGAAGCTGAGTATAGGGCTATGGCATCTACAACTAGTGAATTGGTTTGGCTTGTCCGTCTTCTTGATGAGTTGCATGTTTCTCAATCAGTTCCAGTCCCTCTTTTTTGTGACAATCGTGCTGCCATCCACATTGCTTCGAATCCTGTTTTTCATGAGCGCACAAAACACATTGGGATTGATTGTCATTTTATTCGCCATCACATTCTTTCCAAGCTTTTGGTTCCACGTCCTGTTTCTTCCAACCGTCAATTAGCGGATTGTTTCACCAAGGCTTTGGGTCGTGACTCCTTATTTGGCATTCTCGGCAAGTTGGGCATTTGTGATCTTCATGCTCCAACTTGAGGAGGAGTATTGAGAGAATATCTTGTGATATTCTTATACGATAAATATGGCAATTGTATCTTGTTGATATGATATAGATTAGGTTGTATCAATTAGATGATATGGTAAATCTCGTAGATTAGGTCCTTTGATTTCTTTCCTTTCTTTCATCTCCTTTGGCTTGTATAAATACCTTGTAATCTTCATTGAGTTAAACAACAATTCAAGCTCTACATCATTCTCTCTACTTTTACACTCTCTCTCTTTATTTTTTATTTTTTTTGCGTTAACGTGTGCTAGTTTGAGAGGCTTCTAGCGAAAATGATGACAGTTTTAAGTAGCAAAAGGGAAATTAACCCACTTTTTTTTCTAAAAAAAAAAATAAAATGGTAGCAAAGGGAAACCGTGTACATTTACATTAGTCATTAGTGTGCCAAAGGGTTGCAAAGGACATAAAATTAGAAAGTGAATTCAAAGTTTTAGTGTTGACTCATACTGAGGCCGCCAGCAATTCCTCCTCAGTCTCGGTTTCAGTCGCTGATATTAAGGAAGCTGACTGAATTTTTCCGGTATTCTCCAGCCGCATCAGAATCATACCCCTGCACAAGAAAAATTAAGTAAAAATTTTAATTTTCTTTTCTTTGTCCACACGCAAAAATATTGATAGTTTATACAGTTGACCAAACAGAGTTTACATGAAAGTTTTTTATATACAGTCAACTCAAACGAAGAAATCACACTTTATTGCCTTTCTTAACAGGCAAATAACAAGAATATGGGCATGAAACTAAGCAGATATGGATTGAAGGTTTACTGAAGCTCCACTTGTAGGATAGACAGAAAATGATTATTATCCCTCCTGATTTTGTTAAGAAATTAGTAGTACCAAAACAGTCAAGTACCTACCTTGCAAATCGGGACCGTATGGAGATATCCCGAACTTTGATCCTGTTCACGGTTCCACTTTGGCTGACCAGCACTACTTCTTCATCACTTTCTCCATCCTCTGATTAAACCATTATATAAGTTGTTTTTAATTACTAAAACTCAATTGCTTAGAGAAGAAATGCAAATATTTAGCAAATATATCACCTCCTACTGAAAAACCCACTACGAATACAGCAGCCAGGCGATCCTCCTCCACAAACTGCAACGAATCAAAACAATTGACGATTACAATGTAGTTAAGAAAAAAAAAAAAGAAAAAAAAAAAAAAAGTAGAACTCACTATATTCTACTGTCACTATGGATCCCTAAACTCTGTCCTCTCTCATTTCTCAAATTACATTCACTAGTCCCTAAGAAATCTGGTGAGAATGTAACCTACCTTGTAACCTTTCAAACCAACTCTTTTGAGCGGTGACATTCGGAAGCTAGCAAGAGGAACTCGCTTTCCATAGCCATTCTCAGATATGAACAGCAGCCAAGGACCCGCAAAACCCCTGCCGCTTCATCAACAAATAAAAAATAGATTTTCAGAGTTTACACAGGTAAAATATATTCTGAGAGTTAGTAGGTGGAAAACTTTCAAGAATCAAGCAGCGTCAAATAAAACGAATGTGAACACAAATTAAACAATAATTATGACATCCAAACAAAGTTACCAGAAAAGATATTCATCGTTTCCCCTAAAATTTGTATTAAACCCATCCTTTAATGCGGACATCGAATAAGGAATGCAACCAGGAATAAATTTGAGATGTAATGCAGGAATTAGATTTCTTATATGTTGCATAACAAAATTGTTGATGGAAGTATGGAACAGAAAGATCACCAAATAAAGTGCAACTGGTGGAATAGTCAACAACTGATTTGCATGTAACAGCTAGATCTCATACAGAAAAATTAAGGAGATTATTTTCAAGAAGATATTACAAATACCGAACTAATGAAGCATATACTATGGGAAACTGAAAAATGCAAGTAGTTAGATAAAACACATGATTTGAAATTTGTTTCCACCAGAGAACTAGAGATCAAGAAATAAAAGATGGGAATATGTTCAGCCCGAAGCACAGGGTCATAATGTGTAGAGATAGTAATGTCTATGCTAGAACAAAAAAAGATGTGCATATATATGGTAATGATTGAGAATATACAGGTTCTCCTGTGTTTCTGAGCCTCTGTCCAACATTTTGCCCAATGCAGCAGGCACTATGTCCATGCTCGCCATTTTATCCCCTGGCTTAAGCCTCATGGCTATTCCGCCTCTAGTATTCCTTCCAAGCGCTCGAATCTAAAACACAGTAAGTTAAAGGAGAAGAAACTTGTTAGAGCGAAATAAAATTATAATATTACGTGCATTCGGATAGGAGAATCTGGATTTGAGTGAAGTTAAGCAACACTTTCGAATTACTCCAAATAAAAGAGTTAAAAGGTCCTATTAATAAGTAGAAACAAATTTTAAATCGAATAATAAAGATTAGGAATCAATTGTAAGGTAATATACTCATTGAATTTTGTCGCGATGCCTGTGAAGTTTTAAGTCAAACCCTACATCCAAAGGACCCGTAAACTTTGTTAAATATACTAGTCCCAGTGGGTTTTTTTGGGTAACCAGGGTTAATTGAAAAAGGTGGCATGGTTAGTTGTTAGTGGAATTTTGAGTTTATATTAAAATAATATTTAAAATAAAATTATTAAAGTTGATTTGATGTAAAAGTAGGAGAGAGATGATGTGAAGTGATAGTTAGTTAAAATTATGTGAGTGAATGAATAGTGAATCAAAGTTTATGTGATGTATAAACATGATTGATTTGTATTATTTAATTATATGAATAATATTAAAGATAGTGAGGTTGAGTTAAAGTTGAGTTAAATTTTGAGCATAGATCATATGTTAATGAGATATTTTGTAAACAAGCATCCCCTAAGCATGTCGAAGACTTGATGACCAATGGAATCATATATACAGGTAGAACTAAAAGGTACCGAAAAATTAAAATCAAATTGTTAAATTTTTTTTTTTTAAATTTCCACCTCTCAGCATCTTCTTGAATAGCCACTTATGATGAAAATGCACTAGCAGGAAGGAAATGTAATAAGAATTAGCTTACATTTTCGCAAGAACACAAAATCACCATGCCATTTCGTGAGGCCATCACCACAAAATCATCATTTGTGCACTGCCTCACCCATGTTAACTCATCACCAGGAACCTGTCGTTTAAATTTGTTGATTATTAGACTGCACAATCCCATCATATGATCATATCTAAATTTCCAAGGAGCAAAGTGTTGTACAAACCAGTTGGATTGCTATGATACCAGACGACCTTATTGATGAGAAAAAGTTTAATGGAACCTTCTTGATATATCCGTTCATAGTTAGCATCATAAGATACTTGTCCCCTTCAAACTCACTTACTGGAATAAATGATGTTATTCTCTTGCCATCAGATAGAGATAACATCTGGATCAAGAAAGTTTTGAAGATCAAACTTAATAAACTAGAGTATATAAGCCGAAAATTCCAGTGTATGTTAGGGCAATACCTGGACTAAAGGTGTGCCAGCAGAAGCCTTGCTGCATTCTGGGATTTTATATGCACGAGCTGAGTATACTGTTCCCTCATCACTGCAAAGGGAAAAGGTGCATGCATAGTAATGAAGAACTATTCATAACCAAAAAAAGTTCATCGTCAATTAAAAATCAAACTTCTTTATGACCAAGCACCATATGGGGAAAAATATGTCTATATTTTCACGACAGTAGACGAAATAAGTACCACTCCACAGAGATAATGTGCATAAAAAAAAAATATTACACAGAGATAATGTGCATAAGAAACACCAACATTTCTACATTATAACGAATTACAGGAGTAAAGATGCAGCATCAGCCTAGAGCATATATAATATATTATCATGTCGTTTGTTGGAGCAACTCAAAGTGGCATTGCTAGCAAAAAGTTTCTTATTAATGAGTTACAGGGACCCATACCAGGCAGAGTAGAAAGTGTTTCAAAGTCAGGCCAGTACATATCTGGTTCACTCAGACACAATTTTAAATCATAGTACTTATATGAGCATTGTTACGTGCTATTACTTTGACTGCAGGTAGGTGAGTGGTGTGAACACACAAAAACATATATACACATACATATCTCTTCTTGAAACCTCAAACATGTGCTGAAATTACAGATTCAAAAACAAAAGCAATGCTTGGACTAACAAATAGATTTTTCTGTGGAGACTAACTTTGATATCAGTTGCTAAAAGAGAGTCGGACAAGATCATGTGGAATCAAGTACCTGAAATAGAGGACATGATCGTGCGTGCGACATACAATGAAATCAGACATTGTATCATTTACTCTCAATTTCCCAACTGATTTCCCGACAGTCCCACGTTTCTGAGGATTGAAAGTATGCAGCCTCATTCTTTTTAGGTAGCCTTTTTCACTAAGTGCCTGAAGGTAATATAATATGATTCTTTTAGCAAGGACACTTTAGATAGTTTTGTTTCTAGGAATCAACTCCACAGATTATGTACCAGTAGCATTTCCTCGTTGGGGATCACATCTATGTCTTCAAGTTGACCACAATCAGTGTCCACCAGCATTGAACGCCTTGGTGTACAAAATTTGTTCTTTATTTCTTTTGCTTCAATTTCTATCATCTAAGTACCAGAAAAAATAAACAAATATAATAATAACTGCTGATAAGACAATAAGAAATGCTGATAAGACAACCAGCCTGCATCAGTTAGACAAATCACTTTCTGAAGGGCATCACATTAAAAGTGAATAAACAGAACGCCATTTCAAACTAGAAAATAATTGTGCAAATTAAGGAATTCAATTCTTTTGGTTTTGCAAGAACAAAGTAAGTTCACACATCTTATTCCAAACTCACCACAGAATATACATAACAAGAAGCAATATGTTTAACTCCTCTAATGGATGGAAGGATTAAAATTACCAACAGACTATCGATAAATGCCATTTAATTTCAATTTAATGAGGTAATATAATGAGCTTGATAATGGAATTGAATGTGACTATAGATGTGCGTTATATAAGGTTCTACTAAGAAAATTACCTCAAGTATTAGCTTTTTACTTGAAAGAACCTCTTGTAGCTTAGATATTTGCTCAGACAAAGATTTTCCTTCATCAAGGAACTTTTTTTTCTGGAGAGAGAGAGAGAGAGCATTATAACAGAAGATAAGAACAAGTGCAGTATGAAACAGATATCACTACTCACAAGGTACGGAAATACCTCAAGAGATGTTAGCCGTCTGAGGCTTATGTTCAATATTTCCTCTGCTTGCTTATCGGACAAGTTGAACTCTGAAACATCAAACAAATCGTTTCATAAATGGAAAGACAAATTTAATAAGTAAATTACATATTATGAAAAAACTCAAATGACCATTTGAAATTTCTAAACTACATGCAGATGCTATCTTAAAGAGGACAGACAGAGTTGATCGAATCCATGGCTACACCTATCTAGCTTGAATATTATGCGGACATGCCAACTTACCCTTCATTAAATCAGTCAAAGCCAACACATGGCTAGAAGCTTTCCGGATTACCTCAATGACTCTGTCCAGGTTATCAAGTCCTGTTATAATGCCCTTAGAATGCCACCAAACCCAAAAGAAAGCCAAAGAACATCAGTTACTACTACACCAGTTCATATGCATAAAATAAGAAGAATGGAAAGAACTGGAATAGCAAGAAGTCCAACATGATATCTGATTCAGGGAAAGATTATTACCGATATACCATTAATTTTCGAAAGTTAAGAAGTGGATCAAGTGACTTTCAGTACGATATAAGATGTTAATTGACAATATAAGCCGGTGACCTTGTGGAATAGTCAGCATACCTCAACAATATGATAACGATTTTGCGCTTGAGATAACTTATATTGTGTGCGCCTTTCAACAGCGGAAGATCTAAAATCCAGAAAGGCCTGAGCAAAGAAATTTAGAAAAGTAGGATAAATACACCAACTACATATATTAACGCAGCATCCCTATTCACCAAGATAAAGTTAACATCACTAAGCTCACGTCATCAAATAACTCTTTTAACAAATTTACTTAGCATAAATATAGACATGATATCATCAACGATCGTAATTCCCTAATATTAAGTAAATGATGAACTATTCAATCCAAAACACTACTTCACTGTGGAAGAAAATCATCAAAGGAACACAAGAGCTAATAACCTGAAGTAATTCCTTCAGTCCCATTAATTTCGGTTGGCCATTAAGGATCCTGGGAAGAATAAACAGTCAGAGATCTAACGCAATATAAAATTGGTCTTTTTAAATAACTGAAAGGAACACGGACAATGATACAGGATGGAACTATGAGAATGCTTCTTCCATAATTCACCAATCACGGAAAAAGGAGAAACATAAAAAAAATAGCATCAACAGAACATGAATACATCCATGACGCTAACTAAGTAGACATGTCATGCCCTGCATTTTTCTACATATCCTTCTTTTTCAAAGATTTAATTTGGAATGTTGCATGAATCATGCACGTTTTCCAACTAAATCCTGATAATTATCCTCAGTGTATTATCAATATGTACAGAAATTTCAAATTTTACAAGATCTAACAAAAAAGCATGTATTATCCCTCGGAACAGACAACATTAGTAACTATTATTGTTATCATATCTCATTATCAACTTTCACGATTTTTATTGCTTGTTTTCTAAAATTATTGGCAACTGTTATGCAAATTTGCAATCATTGGCATTTGGTTGACATAATTATTACCATATTTTTCAGTTTTATCGAAATCATAATGGTTTAGAATTATTAATATTACCTGAACTAATAATAAAATAAAATTACTTGGATTTTTTTATACTTACTTTCATTTCTATAGAACTAATCTCATTTACGTACAATATCACATGTTGATTAGTGAAACCATAATATGATATTTGATATCAATGCTAATAGATATGTGTCTTAGTGTATGTGTGTATAAAATATCAGCATTAGTGCAGCAATAGGAGACAAACAAATGTGCATGCTACTACGTATTTAGCATTATTTTACTACATTGGATTAATAACCCGAATATGCTGTTGACCTAACATATTTCAGTTGATTTATGAAGAAAGACATGCACACTTCTAAGATTGACCACGTCAGACAGTCTTCTTGTTTCAATTCAAGAGAAGATAAATTGGGCAAATAACATGGCTGAGATGGATAAAAAGCACAGGAAGGAAATTGATGAAAAGGTAGGGGATATCCCACAAACAGCCTCACTTCTGAACGCGGTTCCAACTTATTAGTATCTGCCCCCAGCACATGTTCTGGATTACCCCATATCCGAATATGTCCTATGGCTTTTTAAACTTGAAATGAATGAACAAGAAGTTATCAAATAATTCTTGCACGTTTTTAGAGCCTCGGACATGTCGAGGAGTTTTTGGATTGTAGATTCATAAATATATTTTAAGTAAAAGGTGTGATAATAGATTACCTTGCTGCTTATTCCCACATCTATCAAGCCTTACACTGCAGCTTTAACTTTCTCCAATTTTTCAGATAAATTCAAGGAAGACATGAGGATTAAATACGAATAGTACCAGCTCATACCCAAGCAAATAATAACAAATCAATTTTTTAATTGGAATTGATCAGTAACATAAACAGTAACATGACTTCTCTTATTGTTCATAAAATGCTTACAAAAAGAATTTTATGTCATTTCTTGTCAATAAAAATATAGAAATCTCCAGCTTTTCCGAACTACTTACCCCACCATGTTGCAGCTAAATGTGGACTGCAGTGCAGTTAAGCAATAAAGATTGTTTAACACTATGGATGGATCTGATCCCTTCTTAAGCTGAAAAGTTGGAGATAAGAATTTGAACGTTTCAAAAGGATATATACACATTTTAGAACTGGAAATTGCGTCATTTCAATTTCATCAACAATGGTAAACTAAATACACATTCACCAATTAAAACCATTACCTCAATGACTAAGCGCATTCCAGATCGATCACTCTCATCACGTATATCACTTATTCCTTCCAAACCCTTAAAGAGAGAAAGCACAATCCATAAGTTTTAAGTGAAACCAATAAAGTAAAGAAAGATTAAGTAATGGAAGATTTCTGAGCAGCAATCCAGAAAAAGAAGGATGAATAATGAAACTCGTGTACAGAGTAACATCATCAGCTATTTGCCTGCATGACTGAGTTAGTGGGGAGCACATGTACCTATCTCAACTATGGATAAAGCATAAAGCACATGGTCCAGAACAAAATTAACATTGACGTCATGAAACCATAATAACTAGCTTAAACAGAATCACTTCTTCATGAAGTTAATTATATGCTTCTGTGATTTCCCTAAATCCTACAAAGTTCTCTCTTCTAAATATTATGCTTCTTAACTGGGATAAAATATATCAGACAATCTGGAATGCCAGAAACCATATGACAACTTGCCCATTCAATATATATTATGTGATAAAGGGTTCGGAATACTTAATATATAAGAGGATAAGCAAAATAAACCTTCCAAGTTCCAATATTTATTTCAAAGGCAGATTACACTGTCATGAAATCTAGCACCCAACAGGTGTTGACAGTCGAAATGGCTAAATGAGTTTATAAGATTAAATATAATAATAATATAAAGAAAAAAAAAAAAAAAAAAAAAAAAAAAAAAAAAAAAAAAAAAAAACAGCATAAGATATTTTGGAAGATGGCAAAATAAGCCGGCAGGCTACATGTGCACCTGCATGTACAAATATAATGCATACATCCATACATACACGGTAACTGCAATTTCATTTCTCATGGGATGATACAATGCAACTCAACTTGATTACTTTTACTTATCATTCATAAGAAGCTTAAAGCTCAAGCAAGGAGTAGCATTAGCATATCAAAACAACGAATACCTTATTCTCAACAAGTTCAGCAATTCTCTCAACAAGAGACGCTTTGTTGGTCTGATACGGTATCTGTTTCAGTTTCAATAAGAATAAGGAATTGACATGGAAAAGCAAATAAATCTTCTAAAGGAACTAGCAAAACAAATTCCAATAATGGAAGTATGGAACATTAGGTGGACAAAGATGGTACCTCTGTTATGATAATTGCTGAACGCTTGCTCTTGGGATCCAGCAACTCAACATCAGCTTTCGCTCTAATTATCACGCGTCCTCGTCCAGTTTGATATGCCTCTAAAATACTAGAATAACAAATTTATAATATTAGAATATATATATATATAAAGGTTTGCATATATTAAAAATAGTAAAGTTTCCCACCAAAAAAATCTTGCTTAATAAATAAGGAAATTTTTTTAATCATTCTTCTACTTTTTTTTTATTTTCTTTTGGTAATTTTTGTTTTATCATCCCGTGGTGAGACTTTTACATTTATTTTACATAGTGTGATATAAAAAATTATCAAAAATTGATCTAAATCTATTGCATAACTTTCTAAAAGTTTTCAATCAATTAGTGTATATCTATCTTATCTATTCTTATGTTTAAGTGATGTGATATCAATAATTTGATATTAAACTTTTAAAAAATTTATTCAGTTTCCACCTAATATAGAATTTTATTTGATTCGAAAAAAATATAAATTACATGGATATAGATTAATCACTCCAAGAATAATTATTTGTTTAAAAAAAATATATGAAATTCAAAATGCATAGATGAAAAAATTTCCTAACTATGATTTTTTTTCTATTTAGTTTCCATATGTTGTCTGCTCTTTTACTTTTCCATTTTTCTTACTAAACATTAATGCCATTTCTTTTTAACACCTCAACGATATGTTTATTTATTATCCATTTCTTATATATAATATTAAATTAAGTTTTATTTTAGGATCTTTGATTTGACACCCATATTTTATGTATAAATAAAAATATTTATTTTTAAAGTATTAATAAGTTTATAAATTAATCTATATAAAAAAAGAGCTTAAATTTGTTTTTGAATACTGATTTACAAATAAGAAATTAGTCTCAAGTTATTCATATAATTAAACGTATGTATAATACAATTTATTTAGTATAAAATTCTTTAAGATAGTAATTAGTATGATTATCATTCATGGGTTAAAAAACTTAATGCTAAAAAATATAAAAATATAAGTAAAAATTATTCAAGGATCAAGTATATATAATATTTTAGTATATATAATATTAAAATAAAAAATAAATGGGTCATTTGTTGAACTGCCCCATAAATTATTAGATTATGAAGAATTAAAATATTTATACCATGTATTGTCATAAATTATATAAACTAATGGGTCATCTATCAAACTGACATTCAAATTATAAGTTTAGAAAAATAAAACAAATATTTATGATATATATTGTTACAAACTATCATGACAAACCAATTGATCGTATGTCGAACATGTAATTATTAACATAGGAAGAAAAAAAAATAAAATAAAATATTTATAATGTATATTGTCATTATTATAATGATAAATCAATAAGACATCCATCGAAGAACGGTATAAATTTTTAGCTTAAAAAAAATTATAATATTTATGATGTATATTGTTATAAATTATAATGATAAATCATCTGGTGTTAAACTGTCGTATGATTTATTAGATTAGAAAGAAAATTCAAAATATTTATAACAAACTTTATTAAATTACAAAATATTAAGATAATTTTGACGTAATTAAAAATTAATAAATTTCATACCTTTAAAATAGTATACACTACATTATTTTTAAATTAATTGTCGGTTTATATTATTTGCCACAATTTTTTAAATTTATCATTAGGAATCAAAATAATATATTACAATAAGGTATACGTAAAAGAGAGAGAAGTATTTTTTGTGAGCATTATTTATTAATAATATTTAAATATGTTAATTTTCATTTTACTTTCTAAATAGGAAATCTGAAATGAAAGCTATTTTATAGCAGGTGAAATAAATATATAAATCGTATATTAAACTATTTATGATTATTATATATCATAAATATAAAATAAAAGATTAAAACTAATACCAGTATTCAAACCTACTTTTATCCTAATCAATACAATTTATTATTATTGTCGCGTGCATCACACGGGCTACGTATGAGTACAAGTAAGGAGAAGGAGACAAGAAATAACGGAACTTTGTAGTCTGGAAAAATGTGCTTATGCAATAACTTACCCACTGTTACCCATTATCATTCCTCCAGTAGGGAAGTCAGGTCCGGGTATGTATTTGAGCAATTCTTGCAGCTGTTAAAATAGTGATGCATACTGGATGAGAAATTGGATCCAAGACATATACTAGTATAAGAAGTTTAATGGTTCTGTATCTATCATAACAAGAGAACAAACATTAATTCTGTGATGAATTTCAAAAAAGTGAATTATATTATTTTGCAACATTATTTGAATGTTAGTAGTCTTCAAACAAAAAATGCAATCTTCGATTCATTTTTCTATAATTTCACGTAGAATCTTATTTATTATCACATTTTCATTTGCATAAAAAACACCGTATTTAATCAATACCAGAGAGTCATACTACAGAGAAAAATGTATAATGACAGCTTTTCTACTCAAACCTAGCGAGGAAGGAACCATAGAAGCAGAAGACATGACTGAAGGATTGGCTAAGACTAAAATAACAAGACAAATCTACTTCACGACAACTTCCATTCAAAAGATACTTCATAAGAATCCTAAGATATTTATTCTTTTTTCCTGACAGAATGATACCGTTGCTTCAGGATTGTGAATCAAGAAAGACAGTGCATCTACCAACTCCCCAAGGTTATGTGGAGGGATATTTGTTGCCATTCCAACCTGAGGGCACAATATAAACATAAATTGGACTTCAAATGGATGATGGAATAGTAGCCTTGACCAACCATGCAGTAATAGTCAAAGTACACCAGAGATCATGGTCATACCGCAATCCCTGAGGCACCGTTCAACAATAAGTTTGGAACACGGGCAGGAAGTAAGGATGGCTCTTTTTGTGAGTTGTCAAAGTTTGGGATAAAATCGACCTAGAACATGTGCAAGCTCCAGTTTAGAAGCAACAGCTAAAATATAGTACATTGAACTAAACATAAACGGACAACTTAAAGAGTGGTACTGACTGTATCTTGTTCCAAATCTGCCAACAACATTGCCTCTGCGAGTGCCTGAAAGAAGAGCAAAAGCATCAGTGCTCATTAGCTATAAAATATAATATCCAGCAATTGGAATTCTTGTAAGGTAACGAATTCAATTCATGGAAACATACCTCTAGTCTGCATTCTGTGTAGCGCATTGCTGCAGGAGGATCAGCATCAATAGAACCGAAATTTCCATGCCCACGAATGAGTGGAGATCGCAATGAGAAATCCTGAGAAGGAAGGAAACAAATCGATTAGAGAAACAGGGGAAGAAAATTTTAAAAATTATACATGCAACAAGAAAACAAATAACAATATAGACTAACTTTAAGATTAAAAAATAAAATCATCAATCTGGCTTGCGCCCAGATGCCACACATTGATGCATACATTAACTTCACATTTAAGACTCTTTGGCCGCAATGGTGCATCTTACTATTAATAAGTGAGGAGAAAAGCAATATTTATCTATTGTGGAAACAGTATCTCTTGCCTAACTAAACAATTGCTGCAAGCTAAATCAAATTCAGTTGTCAAATTCAAGTGGCATAAGTAAAGTGACAGTATAATTAGAACCAAACTCCCTGGTTACACAATAGAAGTGTCATATAGTAATGATTGCTGTTTATTTTGGTAAGCTTTAGAGACCAACATTTAATGGTGCAGCCTGTTTGTATAAATATTTAAACCATTCTTCAGTTCAATCTTTTACATAGAGATGATATAAAGGCCACCAAATTGAATAATACCTGGGCCATTCTAACCAATGAATCATAGACTGCAGTGTCCCCATGTGGATGGAACTTACCAAGAACCTGAGTTAAACAAAGAAAGAAAATTAAAAACTAAAAGAAAATTGAGTAAGGAAATGATCGCATAGTGAAGGTAAAGTTTTATACTATAACACTAATGGAATCATAGAGGCAGTTTGTGTTACTCAATATTAATCAAATACCTCACCAACTACTCTTGCACACTTCTTGTAAGGTTTCCTTGATGAAAGGCCTAACTCATGCATTGCATATCTGCGTTAAAATGGAAAAGCAAAATGTTATTACAGTCAGAAGGCTGATCTAATAAACCAAACCTCAACAGCAAAGCTTATCTTTACAATACAAACACGAGAACAACAATCAAGTCATTATGCAATACTGCAAAGATGTCTAATTGCTTTATATTTTTATCACTTTAAAAAACCTCCTTTTGGACACTTTTTTTTGTTTTTAACAACCGCAGGAAGTATGGGGTTCTGCTGAAACTTGATGCTGCTTTCCAAGGGAAAAAATGAAAAGAAAGAAAGAAACAATGAGACACTAGAATAATCTTCTTAGTTACAATGGTTGCCAGGTAAAGACCACTGAGTATGAAAGGAAGGTTTCGAAAGAACTAACAGTATCCGGCGGTGGACGGGCTTGAGCCCATCTCTGATATCAGGCAAGGCCCGGCCCAAAAGCACGGACATCGCGTAGGACATGTAAGACTCCGTTGCCTCCTTGTGAAGCTCTGTGAGTACTATCCTGTGGTCGCCATTTCCGCCTGCAGCAACCACACTCCCATTCTCAGAAGCTTTCACGGAAAAGAGCCTCCTGCAACTGCGGTGGTTCGTGACGGAAAAGGGGAGTTGCCGACGAGGATGACCGCGGAGCATACGAAGAAGTCCGGCTGCGAATGCCATGTGCGTTTTCTCGAGTTCCGTTCTGGATGCTGTAGGTGCTCATGCCATGGAGGAGAACGTGAAAGGGTTTTGGGAATGATCTATAAATTTGTAAAACCCTAGTGAGAGATGAAGGGTATTATTTGATTTTGAGGTGTGTTCTTGCGCGCCAAGTTCTTGTTCCTAGAGCAATCCCACACACTGTTTTTAAGAAATAATTGCACCAAAATCTGTATCTTTTATCTCAACCAAAAAAAAAAAGAAAAATTTTCATCTATCATATGTGATTATGAAAATATTACAATTATACCATACACTTGTAATTAATTATATTTTTACTTAAAAAGATAACATTTAATTGTATTAATGCTTAAATTCAGTTATTATTTAATGCTAACCTCTCCTTATCTAATGCGTGATTTCCGTTTTGGCTACTAGAAGAAAAAAAGGAAAAAATCTTGCAAATATTACGGTGGTGAATGGATTACATGAATTAACAACTCTCGATAAATTTCTTGTTTTTCGCGAAGTGGTAGAAACTGCAGAATATACCGAATATATACTGAACATAAACCTTAATCATATTTTTACAGTCGAGAGTTCCTTAAGAAGTGTAATATATATCAGTTTTTGAATACCTTTTAGTATATATTGCATTCAAATATGACTTTATTTATATACAAAACATAAAATGTCAATAAACTGAAAATATAATGTCTATATACTCAACATATATCAAATAAACTGTAAATATACATCAAATAAACTGTAAATATACTTAACATATAATCAACATATATCAAATAAACTGTAAATATACATCAAACTGTAAATACTCTACATATACTGTACATATATGACACCGTCATCCCCCGAGCTTGCCACCCTCCGATTCGGCTCCCAGGCCGGCATCATCCGCCTCTCCGACGACCTCCGCCGCCGCATCCTATCCTTCCACGCTCTCCTTCTTCAACACCAAGTCTTGGTGCATTTTTGTAGAAAGGAACTGATTTTTTCGGGCGTCATTTAATGTGGGGAAACACGGCTGAGTACACGTGCATAAAATCTTATTTTAAAGAAGGGTTACAAGGTTCTTAACATCTGAAAGTGAGAATAGGTACTAAGTTCTCATGGGACGCCATTTCTCAAAGAT